ATGTAATACATTTTTTAATGTATTGACTGGACTGCATTTTATGTATATGATCCTTTTAATTAGCCTGATGTCTTTGGGATCAGCCACTTCTATTATATATCACACACGAGAGATAAACGTAGACTTAAAGTGCAAAAACTCTACTTCTGCCCTCGTAACGTATATCACTTTGAGTTCACCTGATACACTGTCCAGTCTATGAGACTAGTCTAGTCTAGCTTCTCTCACTAGCTATCAGTCACACCTTCTAATCCACTCCACTTTGGGATCTAGATTTGCTTTCCATCTGTCCTGCCCTTGGCAGGTGTGCTTGCAGTCACAGAATAATGATTTAAGCAAGGCTTACCCGTCCTGCAGGGAGAAGCCTTAAATATGATCTGATCTTTAATTTGACTTGACCTCCACTGTCTAGATAACCTGTTTGGCTTTTCCATCCTACAGCCAGAGTGTAAGCTAACACCTAAGTAGTAGGATACACCTAAGGATAAAGACCATGCCAACATTTCACTGTACATTTAGCAGCTTGTTGTATAGATACCATTGTAAGAAAATGCCTGAAGTTTTAAAAAGAGCTGTCCAAAATTTGAATATGCACAGCTCTCCTGTTCTTAAACACAGGGCTCTATTTCTTGTCCTTTCACAGAATCACAGAATCACCAAGGTTGGAAAAGACCTTCAAGATCATCCAATCCAACCATCCACCTATCACCAATAGTTCTCACTAAACCATGTCCCTCAGCACAAAATCCAACTGTTCCTTGAACACCCCCAGGGTCGGTGACTCCACCACCTCCCTGGGCAGCCCATTCCAGTGCTTGACCACTCTTTCAGAAAAGTAATACTTCCTAACATCCAGCCTAAATCTCTGCCGGTGCAGCCTGAAGCCATGAAAAAGAAAGGGGCTAAAAATAAAGGGACTAAAAATGGAAACTTTCTTTGCCCATTCCCATTGCTGGTTCTAGTACATGCATATGTTAGGTTGGATCAATTTTCAGATGAAGGACTGACAATAATTGTTGGGTGTGCCAATGACAGTTGAAGCAACAATGACATCTATCTTTCATTGATGTTTTTTGACTAAATTATCATTACTTCAATGTGTGGAACCCTTTCCTACTTTGGAGAAAGAAGGAGTAGAAAACCCCATAAATATTACATCTCACACACCACTTTATCTCGTCCTTATTGCATTAATGCTAGTATAAAGTCACTTTGAAAGAGTGCTATGGACACCAGTGCACATCATTAAGTCTCCTGGTACTGAGAAATTCAATAGCAGTGACAGCCTGGAGGCTTTAGTCAACAGAAGACCTATGGCAAAAGCAATATTGATCGGTCAAGCTGTTCTCTTGCTGTGACACTCCCTCTGCCTGCTTCGGCCCATCTGCTGGCCCGGGGCTCTCTAGGGACATGTGCTATTGCAAAAGCAACAGTTTGTGCCTGATGCTTGGCACCATGGAGCCTGCAGTCAGCTGTAACTGAAGGCTGTTCAAGCCATCTAGCAGAAGTGCAGCCTGGAATTGGCCTTGACATAGTAACTCTGGGTGTCACCAACACAAATTGCAGATTAAGCCTGTTTTCATCACTAGATAGCGTCATCTTATTCATTCCATCTTACATGCTATTAGCCTAAGAAAATTTGAAATTAAAAATGATGTTAGCTGGGATTTGCATTGCAGTGATGCTGCAATGCAAAATCTTGAGAGAAATGAAGTATTATCAACAGCAACACACCCTAGGATGCCCTCTCTCCTTCCAACCAAGAGAGTAACTCCACACTGCACAGAACAAACCTAATCAGTTACCAGCATAGCTGTGGAAGGTACTGACATGTCAGTGTGGCTCTGTGCCTGTGCTGGTCCTGACACTGTGCCACACTGGTATATCTAGGGTCCATAATGGCTGGGTTAATGCAAAGCCCAAGGCCACAGCAGCAAAAACTGTTTTTTAGTTTTATTTTTTGTAGATAAAAGGGAAAGAGACATCCACTGTCTTACAGTCATCTGCAAAAAGTTTCTGCCTTCCCAAATGCTTAGGGTCTTTAGTAGGAAAGAAACAGACTGACTTCTCCAGTAAATTGTGAAAACATGTCCTTGACTGTTGCAGAGGTTCCTCAGTAAAACACAGCTGGATGGTTGCCAGTGAAGCCTCAGTACAGTAGTTGGCTAGGGAACAAGGATGCCCTGGCAACCACACGTTAGTAAGGATGCTGCATAATCTTTAGCAAACTGTTGTGTCCTAAGCCTGAGGGCGAAGTAGGGGGAGAAAGTCTGCTTCCCAGTGATTTACATAGGAGTTGCTGCACAGCAGCAAGGGAACACAATCTCCACGGATTGAAAGCAATGGTATAGTGATGGAGCATTAAAAGTTTCTGGATAAAGAACTTTAAACAATTTTGCAGGTGCACTTACTCTTTCTTGTATCTGTTCGAAACTACAAAATGAGGCAATGCATGGGATGGAAGATCTAAGGGAACATCACATCAACTCCTTTCAAGAAAAAAAAAAAAAAAAAAAAAAAAAGCTTATGGAGGGAAAGGGAGAAAATCCAGGTTACGAAATGTAATTGCTTCAAAGTGCACTGACATCTTTTTGATCCATGATTTAGTTTTGCAGCCTTCAGCTCTTCCTTTGTGTAACTAATTGTGCACCAGTGCACTAGGAATAGTCATATGTTTGATAAAGGTAGATGTCTTCTCTTGCTCTGTAAGAGCCTCATCAGGTCAATTCTTGCATTTTGAGGAAACAAGGTAGTCTCTCTTCAGAAAACTGCTATACCACCGCCACCACCTCCCCCACCCCAGCCTAAAACTTTCCAGGAGATATCATTCTTAAATGATTTCATAAATGCAGACTTCTGAGAAAAATACTAGGAATCAGACTATTACCTTAAAATACCAGTGATACTTGCAGCCACTAAGAACTATGGCCACGTGCATTCATTAATTCTGCCTGCTATTGGCAACCCAAAATCTACAGCAGCTCTACGTGAGGTACAGGTGAGGTCTGGTGACTTCTAACATCCTGCACATGCATTTAGCTGGTTGCTCCTTTATGTGATAGGAACAGCCACTGCTAAGAAGCAGATTGATACCATCACAAGAGATTCTTGTTCACTGGGCAGTGGAACAAATTCTGGAGCAGATCTCATGTATTTCACAACAGTGGTGTATATGTTATTTCAAGGTATTAGCTAATATTTATGAAGTATTTGAAATTCTCAGAGGAATCATAAAGTTGCTATAGGCATTATCACTGTTATAGTAACTGATAGGAAAATATTGTTTTTAATACATAAATGCTAATTTTGTTTTCTTTCATCTCTTTTGAGTATTTATGTGCTTTGTAAAATTCATTGTGTATTTTTCTGTGTCCTTTGATGTCTAGGAATTTTATAGTGATCTTAAATATTGATTTTATTTTTAAGTCTTTTTTTCATGCAGACCTTTAGGGGAGGTTTGCTAATGGTATGTACGTTTGTTTGAGTTAAATACTTTAATGCTAGGGGAGGAGATCAGTTTGACAAGGAATTCAACTGCTTTTGTTTTTGCTTTTTTTTTTTTAAAGGAGAGGACTGATGGATTCAAGAGTATTTGACTATATCTGGTTGACTGAACTGTTTCCTCAAGGAAGTATTCATTCAGTCAATGTTCTAAGGGTTAAGAAAACAGAAACCCACAGTTTTTAGTGAGTTGTTGTTATGTACGTTGCCAGGGGAACTGTAGCTGGAATGTTGAAATGTGTTGTTCCTCCCCAAACCCACAGGAGTGGAGCTTAAGTATGTTGGTGTACTCTAATCCTTGCAATTAGCTTCTATGTGGTAGGGGGCTTCTGGAACTGAATACGTGTTAGTAACACAAGGCAACATTCCCACCATTCTGGTTGGAACATACTCATTACTTATGTGAATTAAAATTTAAAGCAGAAAATGAAGTATATTAAAAGCCTCTCTTATTGCTTCTTCCTGAACCCCGTCTTTTAGCGATACACACTATAGAAAATAAAGATCTTCAAGGAACATTCCTTAAGACTTAGGCAGGAGAAATCATGAGGTTGATTGATTTTGACACAGGTCTGTGTTGCCTCTCATGCAATTTTACTGCTGTGTACTTGGATGAAATTCTATTGAAAATAACTGAGAATAGAGGAAACAAATTTTAACTGTTTCCATTTTAATGATCAGGCTTTTGGACTGCCAACAGCTCTGCAGAAAATCTAATCAAACTCTATTCATTGCCAGATCAACTGCTGTAAGAAAAATCTATATCTATATATCTGTAGAGTTCTACTTTGACTTAGATCCTTCAAGAAACCAGGAACAATTATGAGGTCCAAACCATTCCAAACCCTTCCATCACACCATCACTCTCAGCTATTGGTCCTTGGCTGCCACCATGCTTTTCCTCAAGTGGCCTGCTAGCAGCACCTAGTTGAGCTAAACCTAGCTCAGCAGCATTCAGGCCCTGTTTAAGTCAAATATTTTTCAAAGCAGAAATTGATCCACATCTTAGTTTATGCATTTATTCTGCTATGTGGTAGAATCTGTTTTTTGTTTTGTATATGTACATTCTCCTGTCACTCAACATAACTTTTTCTTAATGCCCAAGATAAACTAGCCATTTCCAATTCCAATGGACATGGAAAACAAAAATTACTTCCTCTATTACAGTTGTCCTTTAAACATTTCAAAGCCCTGTCTTTTCCTTTCTGTATACTGAACAATACTTTCCCAAACCATGGTTTCTAAATACCTGATTACTCTTTTTACCTTCTGTTACTCCAAATGAGGAACAGCATCCTAGGCTATGGCTCCTGTGACAGACTACAAGTCTTCATCTGATCAGTGCAGAGGTAGATTACAAACATTTTATCCATGTAAATCCTGTGCATACATCCTACTGTGACATTTCTTTTTTTTTTTTTTTCGCTTCTGCCTCAGTACCAAAACATTAAAACATTGACCACCAAGCTTTCTGCATCCATATAAAACAGCAAACTTACTCTTTCAGTATGTCCTGGGATCTCCATCCTCCAGTTGTCCAAACTAATGATCGTCTGAACTGAAGAACAAGGAAGGAGACTGGTTCACTCTTCTGTCTTCCACAGCCCATTATCTCAAAGCTTTCTTCAAACTCTAACATTCATAGCAAGTAGAAAACCAGATCCACACGATCAGCGATAAGAAACCTAGGGGAGAGAATTTAGGTCTTCTATCAAAGGTCAGAAGCTAAGGGTCCTACTTCCACTGTGATCAGAACAAGTGGACAGTGCTGAAGGTAACTTGGGAGTGCTAACCGCTAGTTCACATTTCCCAACCACAGTGCTGGCACCATTTGCATGAGGCTTCCTGATGAAAACAATGTTTTCAAATAAAGAAGACATAAAATCCTGCTCTGTGATTTCTGTGCTCTTTTGCTCCATGTCATTTGATTCTGTGAGGCAAAGAAGGGTAACTCAAGAAAGCATAAAATTTTGGTTTACTATCTTACCATCATTTACGCATCAAGGCTGCACTAAGACGCAGTGGCAGAAGCTGAACATGGCTTTCCTGCACTCTGCTTGGCGCAGGTTTGTATTCATCACCCAGACTTACCTACAATGTTGTTTAAGCAATCTCTTTAGATATCTAAAGTTTCTAAACTGAACTCAAAACAGAAGCTCTGAGACGAGCTCAGTCTGCTACGTAGAAGACAACCTACAAAATGCAGAGGGAAACTGTAACCAAAGTTCTACACTCAGATTAATTCTGCAATGGGTACTAAACACCAGAATCCTAACAATAGATAGGCATTCCTTACCTTGCTTTATTTCTTGCCATTTGCAAAAAAAATAGCAAGAAACAAAATGAGCAAAAAAAATTGCCTTTCCCCTTTTATTAGATACAGGAAACTCTTTTGTTTTGGCACTGGTTCTATTTGTCATTCACAAAGTTTGTTTTTCTCTCAAGTTTTTTGGGAGCTTTTTATTTCCTGTCAGAGTGAGGAGGAGAAAACTGTTTCGTCTGTAAGTTATGCACCCCTTACAGTGCCCCTTAGTTACACAGCACAAGGAAAAGAGAAACAGAATCCATGGCATCATGCAGAAATGCCGCACTATATAGTTTGCCCTGGTTAAACATTTCCAGAAAGGGAATGAGACAACACTGGAGATCCCAAACGTCTTTTGGCCATTGTGCTGCAGGGAATGCAGGCATTTTGGGTTAAACGTTCTGAAGGAGTGCTGGATTCTGGGCAAATTTTGGTTTCAGATCTGAGCTGCAAAGGTTAGAATTATTTCCCATTTGTAACACTAAAACAGTGTCTCCTCCATGCCTGAATATGGTATCTGGTGCCCTGAAAAGAGATACTTAGATGGTGCAGGAGAGCTTCTGTTCAGTTTAGTCAGATTTCACTTACCTTTCTTAATCTTTATCCAAACAAGTGCGCTTGCAAAATAATGCACAAAGTCTTGCGTGTACTGATATTAGTTCTATATAGTACGTAACTCTGTCATTTTCCCTTGTTCTCTAGGTATTCAGAGAGATGTCAAACTGGAAAGGAAAAAAAAAAAGGCAATTTAATCACATTTTACAAACCTTCCAGGAGGAAAGTTTTGCATATTTGGACAAAGTCTGAGATTGTCTCACTTGGTTCTCCTTATCCATTTTTTATTCAATTTATCTTGTTCTGAAGTGCACTGGTGAAGGAAGCTGAGTGTTGAATCCAGTCACCTCCTTACAGCTGCAAGGGTTTTCTGAATTATAGTTAGTGCATTCACAGACAGCAGCCCCTCATCTAACAGCAGGATGGATCAAATCACTGGATTGAGACAACATCTTACATGAAATTTGAATGCATCTTGGGATTTGTGTTTGTTGCTTTTTCTTTGCTAGCAGTATTTGAACCTCCCTCGTTCCTATGCATATGCCTCACAAGATGCCTCACACACACCTTCAAGATTACTTTATTTTGTTTGTATTTATTCTCCTTAAAACATCATGCATTATTTAAAGTTTCAAGGACCTTTCAAAACTGACATCACTGACAAACTCCATGCAAAATGTTGGACAGTACAGCATCTTTTGGCTGTGCATTAAACTGGGAGACAACAGGATTGTAACAGCGTAAACAGGAAAAAAAAAACAACACTGAATGTATATGTTGTTAATACGGTAGCAGAAAATATGTTTCTACAGCAGTTACTATTGGTTAATAGAAAAGCCCTTTTCTGATCTGTAAGTATTGTTACCGTAAACTAAGAATTGTAGTTTATCTGCTGTTCTGTCAATTAAATTTCTTTCTGTTATGTTCAATTAATTAGTTATTGGAAATAGAGCGAGGAAAGGATCCGTGCAATGAATCAAGCCTTTCAGCACACTCAGCTGCTGGGGATGGGGGCATACATCTTCTTTTCTGCAGCTATGTGGAGCAACAACAACAAGCGCCGAGCCCATGGCCTTTGGTTAGCCTCTGCATTTTTACACTAGGATTTGTTCAGTTGACATAAAATGGTAGCTGAGGCATTCCAAACCACCACTACAGGAGGCCTCTACAGGGGGAAACACAGACCCTAAACATGCTCCCCAGAGCCCCCCTAACCAGGTTCAAAGAATGCAGCTTTAACCACTGCTCAGAAGAAACCCCCACCAACTCAGAGGCCACCCTCTGCTCACAAAACCTAGTCCCTTCCCTGCAGGCATTTGGGATCCTTTGAAATGGAAAATTTATGCTGTACTGAAATAGTTCATACTATAATAAACAACTAGTGCCATCATTCTGCTGGTATTCAAAGCGCAATTAAACCTCACGTGAGTACAACGTTTGGGGTGCAGAGGTGGGGCTGTGGGGTGCAGGCAGTTCACCGCCAGATATTTTTTCCCAGCGGAGCAGAATTTACTGCTGCTCCCCCAACTTGCTTGCCTTGCAGAGAAATCCCCACCCCCCTCCCCACGGTTACATGGGGGCTGGTGGGGGATTATATAACTTATAGGTCAATTTGTTGTTTGGGCAGAAGCGCTGCAAGAATGTGGTATGTTGGCTGAAGCTGTTTGTTTGCTTAAGTTCTCAGAGTTCAATGAGGTCATTTTCTCATCTTCCCTGTGTTTTCTGTATTTTCCACAGACCTGCCAGCCTCACACAACACCCTCTTTCTTCGCATTAGAAATGGAAACACGTCCTCTGCAGGAATTTTCCACTTAATAGCTCCTGCTTTCCTACCGGGGGCCTCAGTGCACCACCACTGCAATGCTGTATTTCTTTCCACTGCAGTTTGACATTTTGCAGCCAGAACAACGAGCGGCATTCACTCCATCCTGCTTTTTGAAAAACATATCTCTACAGGCACACAGAAAGCACCCGGTGCAGCCATTGCCACAGGAAAATGGCAGAGGTATTTAAGCATCATTACAGGTCACAAAGGATGTGGCATTGTCTCAGAATACTGATCTTTCATACAGTCTCTTTTCCTTGCTCCTCCATTCTCCCCCCCAACCCTTTTACACATATACACACACTAAAGCCTCTGCCCTGCTCTCCTATTACAAGCCAGGCTCGTGTTCTACGCTTGATTATAATTGTTTGCCTTTGTGAATTATTTCCTTTGTACAATGTTTGCAAACTGTATATAAGGTTCTGATATTGTGATGAGCAGAAATGCAGACTGCAGGTGATCTCCGTGGTCAACAAGGAGCCTGCTTTAAAATGCGCCAAGTGACCTGTCAGAAAGCAGCAACATTTGCAAACTGTTTACTGCTAAGATGCAATGATGTGGTCTGAAATGCAGCAAGCTAAGGACTGGAGCAAAATGGGATCTCAGAGAGTCGGTCAAGCACAACACAGAATATTTTCTTTTTAGTATTATTATTATTTGTAAAGCTTGAGCTTTATTATAAATTATTAAAATGTAATTTCTCTTTGCTATTTCTGTGAAGTATTTGTATATTCCTTCACAGAAAGATAAATGTCTGGAGGTAAACATCATTTATAGCTGGAAGGAGGGTTTCCCCTGTCTGCATAGTGGTAGAGTCTCAGACAGCAAGGTCCCAGTAGGTCAGACTGGCACATTGAATTGAGTATCAAATGAAACTGGTATTCTGGAAAAAGGGTGGAAAGAGGAAGAGGGGCGTTAGTAAGGAGGTTGTTCAGGCCAGGAGGGTGGGCCACAGAAAGACAACGAGGAAAAAAATAGGATTGATGATTTGCAGGACACCTAGGGTATTTCTTTCAGGGGGTATTACTTCCACTTTTAACCAGGAACAAGAGCTGGTAGAAAAAAAAAAAAAAAAAAAGCGGCAGGAGCTGACAGCTTTGTGCTGATCAAAGGGAAGTAGCATTGAATGCCTGCCTTTGCTAGCTATTTATTAGAAAGAGAGAAGGGCTCCTTTGCCATTCTACTTGGGAGAGAAGGGATTAAAGATCAAAAAAGAAGGGAACTGACCTGACTTCTTTGTTCAGAAAATATTTCTCTTTTTCTTTTTTTTTTTTTTTTCCTCCTGCATGTCATGCTGTCCACTATAAGACAAAAACACCCTTTCTTTTCGGTGTTGCTGCCTTTCTTTACTTCTTTACTCATTGAGCAAAATTTCTGGTGATGAACAATTCCTGCAGCATCTTTTTTTTTTTTTTTTATGGTGAAGGAGGCCCCCCTTGAGAAAACTTAGTTAACTGTCTTTTAGCCTGATTAACCTAGGAAATAAAGTTTGAATGCACAGCTGGGATTCTATTAGGATCATCAGTTCACATAGATAACAGCAAAAGGTGTTAAAATGCACTTCACTGGTGCAAGTGATCTCATGTTGTAAAAATGATTATTCCCAGCAGAACAGGGAAGGATTAAGGGGCCACGTCTACATCTGGGAAACTCTGTAAGTGTTGTATTAGCATTAATACGTGTATTGATCACACACACAAAATAAGCACATAAGGATGGTAGCAAATGGCACAGTGCATTAAACCTGCTCTAAAGTCAGTGAAATGTGAGCGTCTTTACTCCCAGAATTGCAACAAAGCTGTTAAGCAGTTTCAATAAAACTGGCGAATGCCTGCTTGTATGATTGTGGATCATTGTGGATTACCTGCCACGTAAAAACTGTTATCAAAATAAGACTCTCTCATTGCAGAGATTTTGAAGGATTGTGGGGTAAATTTGGTATTCTATCTCTAAACCGAATGAACAACATATTTCCCCTGAATTTCATCACAGTGGCTCAACTGCTCATCTATATTCTCCAAACATGTTTGTTGCATGGACCAGAAGAGAACTGCTGCTTCTCACTGCGGATAAGAGTGAGAATAGATGACTGTGCAAGCAAGGCTGAGGTAGACATTTAAAAAAATAAACGGTGTTGACCAGACATTTGAATAACTCAGCAGTGAAGTGAATAGAACAAATAGAACAGAGTAAACAGAACAGTTGGAAGGCACCTTCAGAGATGATCTAGTCCAACTGCCTGATCACTGTAGGGCTAAGTAAAAGCACCAAGAGCACTAAAAGTGGGTATAAAGCATTGAAGGCATTGTACAGAAAGGCATGGGGCATCAGCCGCCTCAGGGAAGCCTGTTCTAGAGTGTGACCACCTTCACAGTAAAGAAATACTAACGTCCCCTGAACCTCCCTGGTGCATCTCTGTGCCATTCCCACACATCTTGTTCAATTCAGCTGAATACTAAAATCTGTTTCAACTGAAGAGCAACCACAAGCATCAAAATGATACATAACTAAATATGCATGATTTTAAAGCAAGATTTTTGATACTGTAATACCAAAATTAGGCTAGCAGTTGAAATACATGGAAAAAACCATCGGGTCTTTTCTGATCTACAACCTTCAGCACTACCCAAACAAATCCTTAAATGAAGCAAGTCCTCAAATGGAAATTAAAAATGTGAATCTCAAAAAATAGTTATGTTTGTGCTGTAATCTTTCAGCTATGCTATTTATTGACAATCACCATACTAGCACAGCATACAGGAAAGTTTTGGTAAAAACTACTTTAGCACCATGATAGATGGTGAAAGAAAGACAAATTATTGACTTTACTGCTAAAAATATTATAGTTACACATGTTCAAATCTTGTCAAGCAGTTGCATCTTTCATTCCTGTATTAAAGATTTCTTTTAGTGGATATTTGAAATATTGTACGTGCCTATCACCACAGCAGTGACATTTGTTATTTTGCTCATCAAAATGTCACCTGCCTATCAAGATAGCTAGAATAAGTAGGAGTGGGAACTCTCATGGAGTCATACATAGCCTTTTTTTCTGCCAGCAGATGTATATTGACAGGCACTCACACTGGCACAGAATAGCAACAGAATTTAGCTTTCCTGACTGCAAAATTAAAGGAATCTTTTTATTATTATTTAATTTTTTTATTATTATTATTATTTAATTTTTGAGGCAGTTGCCTCAAAAAGATGTTTTAGAAATTGCTCCACAACATTAAGGGAGGGGTAGCGGGACTGTTAGACCAGCCAGTTTCTGACAATAGAGGATTGTTCTCATAGTAGTTCGTATTTGTAAAGAACTTTGAAGATGAAGAGGACTCTGTAAATGTTTTTTAAGTACTATAACATTTTGAACATTCTTAGCGAGAACACTTGGTTGCTCTAAAAGTCTGAAGAAAACCTCAGCCAAGGGCCTAGTAAGAGCCAGGTGACAAAAGAGACAGGAAATAAGGATGCTAGCAAATTCTAAACAGTGAGGTAAAGACAAAATGAAAACCCAAGCCTATAAAAATACAGTGAGCTTTTCAGAAACGATACCATTACGACAAATGATCAACAAAGTTTAAAATGCACTGTGTTTCTCCACCTACCCCTTAGTAGATCTTAAGTACCCTTCAATGCCTTGGAGTCAGATTTCATGCCAAAATGTCTGTGTTACTAGTTTTGCAAGTGCTACCACTAATTGAAACCACGTAATACTGCAGTTCTAAAATAAGGCAGGCAGGGCATCCCTGCTGAAAAGCTACCCAGCAGGACAAACCCTTTGTTCTCTTCTAAAGCGAACTAGTTCAAGGAAATGTTGTCTAAATCATTACAACTAAATGTATTTTGAATTTCCTCCATACCATCCCCCCACCTATAATTTTCCTTGTTAGTTATCAAAGGACTTCACTTTTCTTGTCAACTGCAAAAATGGTTTTAATATGCACACTTGTCATTTCTAGGTGTATAAATTTTGCTTTTGCAGAGATCTTACATGGCACATATTGTTATCACCTGTGGGTAGGGTGGTTAATTAGCAGAGTCCAAGTCCTATTTTATTTCATTTATACCAGAGTAATTTAAACTAGAAAAATGATCACAGGCACACTCAGTAATTTAACTCGCACCTTTCAAGGCTGATTTAGTAATTATATTTTAGTTGAATGTGTTCAGGAAGCTTTTACACTGCTTGTTTTCCTCAACAACATAGCCTCTCCTCCTTCCCAGCTCTCCTTCACCCTGGCTCTTTGTCTTTCTGGATAGTGTTAGCTGCATTCATTTAAGAAATTAGAAAATTGCAGCTGACATTATTTTGTTGATTGTAAGATCTACAACTTGCAAAAAGAGTTAGGAGGGCTGGTGTTTTGCTTCCCCACGTACTTTCAGCACTACTTCCATTTGACCTAAAAGAACAGGGTAACAGACCGACCTCTGTTGTCAGGGCTGAGATGTCCGTGTGGATAACCACAGTGTGTAGACATAAACATCCCTTGACACCTGGTTTTTTAAACCTCAAAAGCTACCCTCATTGTTATTAGAAGTCACTGAGCAATATGCATGAACACCAGTGGAGTGGGTAATATGGCTGTGGCCCAGACCTGAAGTGACCCGATTAAAGAAGGTTCTCAGTCACAGTGGATGGGAAAACTGATAGTTGGGTGTAAATGGTAACTTGCAAATACCTGATTTGCAAGCTTGATATTGAAGGCCTTACCCACAGTGTTCCTCTTTTAAATCTACTGTTTTGGACACTGACTTCAAGGCTTAGGAGGATTTTCTGGGATGTAATGACTTGCAGAATCTTTTTTTTTTCCTCATTTTTTGTGGTAATATCAAGATTCCAGAAAAGGATTGTACAGTTTTTCAGTTGAAACTGTAAAGTAGTAGACAAATAGGTAAGCACTTCCTTTCCAATGCTCCCGAAAGCCTGACCTTAACTGATGCTAAATGATACCCAATTAACCATATTCTCATCACAAGCACACAATACAATTAAATCATCTTATAATTACCAGTATAAACTACCAGTTTATGGATGTCTGCTACAGATTATAAACCAAAGATCAAACTTTTAAGATTTATTCACGTTGAGAAATATTTTTTAATATGCTTTTCCTTGACTAAAAATTTTTACTTCAATATATCAAATAATGTGGTATGTACAAAAAAATATTTCCTGAACATTGGTTATCTCATCTGTGGGGAAGCAAAATCTCAACAGTAACATCACTTGTAATTTAGACTGCTGGTGGCAAAGTTATTTCTTTCCTTGAGTCCAGGTCTTTGGAGACACTGTTTAGTCTTTGAGTAATGGGAAACCTTTTGTGGATATGGAACTTCTGAGGGGAAGGGAAGGGTTTTCTTTAGAACAAGAAAAATGTCTGTGGAATTTGTTTGAACTTACAGTCTGTGATTAATGATTCTCTATTCATTGAAAAACTGTAGCTCTCGTTAAGTCATTAACTGAAAAAAAATCAGAATTACGCCTAAGAAATCCAAGGATCAACCTTTTTTCTGGTCAGTGAAAACAAAGGGGACTGTAGCACTATTAGCCTCAAATTTTGAGGAAGAAGCCTGATATTTTATTGCCTTCTCTCTGCTTTACTAAAGACAATTCCTGAACTTTGCCAAGGGCTGCACATTGCTTGTCTAGGTTAATAGGTGAGTTATCAGAATGCAAGATATATGTCAGCAATCAAAGAATTAATGAGCAGAATTTTGAAAGCTGAGGAAGCCTTTGCAAATCCCCAAAATAGAGAGAAATCTGTTCTTGAATCTTCTGAAGTGAATTGTTAGGGCAGCTGCTGCTATACTTAAAGCAGAGTGAATAGACAAAGAGGTTCAGATGCATGAGCTATGCTTAATCACCAAATAATAACAAGAAGGAACTCCTTAAAAACCCTCTATGAGATCATGCTCAAATTAGCTACACATTCAAGTTTTAGAGCAACAATTTCCTCACTTCTATTTATGGGAAAATTGTAGTATTTATACCAGCCTCAGAACTTCCTGCATCACATGGCACAGATGATTTTCTAATTGACTCACCCTCTATATTTCTTCATCCATGGTCCCATTGCAGATTTTTTCACTGTGGAGCTCAGAGAATGTAAAGATCTCCTCAAGGTCCCCCCCAGATAACATTTGGGTGTGAAGAACAGAAAAATTAGCAGAACTTTCCTGATGCCTAAAAAAGTGTTTTTCCTTTGAGACTTCGTGATCTGAGCTGTATTTATCTGCTTACTGCTTTTTTTCACAGTGAACAGTGACAGAAGGATGGACAAGAATTTGATTTTTATGCAGTTCTTTTCACACTGAAGTTATTCCACTAGATGTAGGCAAGCAGTGTGCCTTGTCAGAGGCTGTTAAGTGTGTTTGCTGGATAAGCAGAATAGAGCGGTCAATTTGTGGTTAATGATAATTTTCATAAAGCTCCAGACAATGCTAGCTTTTTTCAGTGGGATAGTAAAAACAACTTGGCAGGACACTCAAGGGGTAGCAGTATATCCCCAATTTTTTTCCTTCTCTTCTTTCCTCTCTCACCAAAAATCTTTAATTCTTGGAACCAAGGGAGTAGCAACCTGAATTTTGCCTTTTATCTCCTCCTTAATGTGCCTTTTTCTCATTCATTCAGACATAATAAAATACTACACTTCACTGCATAAATGATGAAATATTGCAGGAGTGCATTTCAATGGTATTAGATGCCTAAATATGCAGTTAGGAGCACAGCAGGAATTTTCAAAGAACCAGAATCATCTTGCTGTATTTCCTCCTAAGAGTCACTGGTCCAACAGCCATTTCTACAGGAGCAGGGTTGAATCATTTTGGTTAAATTAAGAGGAAGCTTGAATTGGACATTTATTGGACGCTTACCTCTGGTGTGGAGCAACAGAGTGCCTGTACCCCAATCAGAGTAAACACCAATATCGAGTCATTTGGCAAAGTCTGATCATTTACTCTGCAGCTCAGAATCACCCCTAGTATAGGGGTTAAAAGTTTCTCAGGAGGGAAAAGGCTCAAATAAAGTTCTCTCATCAAATGGGTGAATGATCTGAACATTGCTGGATTTTTCACCGCTGGGAAAGAAGGGAACTTTTTCAATTTCTTGCATGTATAAATCATGCCTCCCAGCACATCCAGTACTTGGACTTAGACAAACAGAAACATAATACAAATCAATGCCTGAAAGGAAAAGACTATGTTTTTCAGATAGCTTAGTGAAAATAAATGTCAGTTTTGGGTCAACTGATACATTTCATTTCACCTCAAATCAATTGCTCACACAAGTCTAAATAATTGGTGCTAGAACCACACTACAGAAGCTATTGGCAGGAGCACAGCCAAACCTGAATGCTCTAAGGCTGCCTGGACAGATGATGTTCAGGCAGTAGAGGAGAAATAGGCATATTATCAACTGACTACATGAAAAATATAGTATTCCTTCTCTCTTTTTCTACTTACCTCCACTGAAGGTGTCTCTACCATATAGCATTCCACCCTTCCTCATCACCTCAAGTTTCACTGAAATATTTCCTGTAGGGCTCTGGTACTGCTGCTGAGCTCAAGATGCCAGGTACACCCCACTTCTGCTTGAAAACTTTGAGAGCAGTACATGACTAGGGCACCAGTCAGTGTTGTCAGGAGTCTCTGTCACACTTGTTTAAAACAGGCACAAAAGGACTAGGCAAGCTGGATGAAGACCTAATAGGAAAACAGAAGGGTGAAGGTCATACTTCATGAATCTTTATGAATAAAAGGGTTTATACTACCGAGCTGAGCTTGCTGACAAACCAGCTGTCGAAGAAGCACTCCTGCTGTGAATATGGAAACCATTTAAGTATGGATGGGAGGAAGAATATCCTACCTGGGCAAATTTACATACCTTGTTCTAGAAGGACTAAAAAATACATGCCAAGGAGAGTTATTCATTCAGTAGTTCCTTCACTATTCATAGAATCATAGAATCAGAAGGTTGGAAACGACCTATAAGATCATCTAGTCCAACCATCTTCTCATTACCACTGCTACCACAAGGTACTAAACCACATCTTGCAGCTCCTCATCCAGATGCCTCTTGAACACTGCCAGGGACGGTGACTCCACCAGCTCCCTGGGCAGCCATTCCAGCCACCTGGCTATCTGACTGTGTCAAGTAAATGTACAGCAGCATTTCCTTTCTTAAAAAACAAAACAAAACAAAACAACCTAGGTCAAAATAATATCATTGAATCATAGAATCACAAGGTTGGAAAAAACCTGCAAGATTATCAAGTCCAACTGTCCTGCCATTACCATTGGTACCACAAGACTCTAAACCATACCTCATAGCTCCTCATCCAGACACCTCTTGAACACTGCCATGAACGGCGACTCCACCACTTCGCTGGGCAGGCCATTCCAGTGTCTGACCACTCTCTGAGAGATAGAAATATATTGTCATTAGAAAATATTCAGCTCTGATCTTACTGTTAATTACAGCTGTTCATAAGGGCATTATAAGGGCAGTCCAGAAAGGACCAATAAAGGACATATAGCTATTCTTATACATATATCACTACTCCGTTGTCTATACCCATTGCTTTGTGGATACTGTAGATAATTTGAATTAAATTTCTCAGACTTGTGCTGGCTGCACAAACAAGGGTAAAGAAGCTTGCTACAGGTAAGAACCAATTCTATGGTGAATAATTCATCACCTGCATCCCAATTTTCTATTGCTTAATCTCACAACCTGTCTACCATTTTAGAGGCCTCTACATCTACCACACCTACCAAAGAGTTTGTCAGATAAGGACAGTTTGATCTTTAAAAAAAAAAAAAAAAAAAAAGCAGATGGCAGCTTGGCTAGGGATGAGTGTTTCTTGTGTATTTATGTTTCAGGGGAGTGAATCTTGGGAATGTAACCTTTCCCTCAAGAGCTCAGTTTCCTTCATCAACAGCCACTGCTAGCAGAGGTCTGGCAACTTTTGATGGAGAACACCAATATCAAGGCATCTTCCCTAACTGATAGAGCTCCTCCTAGAGCAGGCCACATGACAGCTGGTGTTGGAGCCACTGACCACGGATTTAGATTTTTCCATCTAAAAATCACTGCATATTATCTGCTCATTAGCCAGAAGATCTCTTCAGTCCTCAGCACAGCTTTTATTCTTCCCAAAACACAGCCTATCTCACTACAGCTCTCCATCCCTGCAGGATGTCTTTAGAAGATCACCTGTCTTTCAGTTTGTGTTAATCTCTGCCCTATGCACGTCAGCTTGGAGGCAGTGCTAATCAGCCAAGTAGCAGCTGAAAGCAGAGGGGCAGCATGGCAAACGGCCAGCTAGATGGGCTTAAATGGAGAGGTGGAAGGGACTGTAGTCTCTATATAGCAGCGCAGATAGCACGTTCTCAGAGCCAGCACTATATGGCACAAATGCTTCGAATTGAGACTGCTAACAGATCTTTTAATGTAGCCAATGTTCCATACTAATTGTACACCAGACAACTCTTGCTCTTCAATAACTCCTTTGGAAGGAAACTTGTCCTGACCTTTCTCTGTCAGGCACAAGGTGATGCCTTTGAAGTAGGATGAACATATGCATAAACTATCTTCATCCTGATCTCAATGCTATGAAGACTGTTTAGTGGTGGGAGTGACCCAGCAAAGAGTATGATTAGGAATCCTAAAATTCAAAGTACTTGGTCATCATCTCTTAGGAGCAGGAATTTACCTATGCTATTGTTTTTCCACCTGTGTTCAGGCACACAGGAGTGCAAAGTCTTAGGTAAAACTTTCTGGTATTCCTGTAGAATGGAATGAACATGAGAAGAGAACTCTGTGTTCAACCCATTATGAAGAAAATCATATTTGTATTTGTACCTATTGAAACTGCTCAGGGATAACACTTTTTTCTTCAAGAGTACAGTTTGCCAGCATAAAATTAATTCTAAGCTCAGCTTGTACCTTGGAGAGATAAGACACAAGGTAGCAGAATTTCTTCTTTTATTTGGTTGTTAATTTTTCATTTGGGCAAGGCTGAAAACACACTAGATGCTGTACAAGCATGCCCAGAGGGAGGAAAAAAAGATATACTGAATCATTTACAGAGAAGAGGTTGGTGCAGACTTTCTGCTGGGGTAATCAGGCAGGGGACATAGGATTAATGTCTCCTCATTATTAAACTTTGGTATGCTTGTCATAACCTTCCACCAGCTTTTGCATTTGCTGACTAAAACCTGGCTACCAGATGGCGTTATTTGGCTTTGCCTCTGCTTCTGAGACACCCTAGTATCTTCTTGTATTCTCTCCAGAATCCCTTGGTGTGTTGTTATACAGTAAGAAGAGTGAGTCTGGCACCTTTCATTAGCAAACCATGCAATAAATAGCACAATATCCACAGGAACAAGCTGATGCTGTTTAGATGCTCACTTAAATCTATCATTTTTCTGGCTGATCTTCTCTGGATTTTAATTTTTATAATCATTTCATATGTCTATTTTAATTTCTGAATTTGTTTTTCTTTTTACCTTTCTGCACCACGAAAAGTAGATAAAAGCTTCAGTCATCTCATTTCTCTCCCATTAGTTTTCTATACTTATTAATTCTAATGCCAGTATTAACTGAAGTTAACCTCTACATTTGCTGATATAAATAGAAAGCAATTTGGCTCCAGTATATCTTCCACCATCTTCCAAATATTTATATCCTGCAGTGTTTTTGGTCCTCTGCCTCACCCCAGTCATACCTGTCAATATTGTTTGGCTTTTTACACACATTATCAAAAATCGTGCAACAAAACTGACTTTTGTAAGCAGAATTTTCACCCATTAAGTTCTTGTGAAGCAAATTATGAGGTTAAGAAGTTGTAGTGTTTCATAACCAGTTGAGCAATCAACATTGCATGCTCCTGATAGCTAAATTTTAGTTCTATTTATATTCTTCTTATATTCTCTATTCCCCTCAGTCCAGGACAACCCTTTATTAGCACAAAGTGCTGCTGTTGAGCTCTGCCTTCCATCTCCTATCTGGCTGAAGTATCAGTGGCAGCTATCTCCAGCCTTAGGCAGTGCAGAACTGTATTTTGTAGTCTACACAGTTGTCTTTAACGGCTCCGCAGAACAATCACATCTGTTAAAACTTCCAGAAGATCTTATAAAACAGGAGATTAGTAAGCCCTTAGCTATCAATTTTTATCAGTCAAGATTGAAGTAAAAATCCCTTGTAAAAAGAAGTTTAGTTCTTCAGCTGCAGTTCCACTGAGGAAACCATTACCAGGCCTGCAAGATCCCTGGCTTGGTGCAGCAGTGACTGAAAGGCAACTTTATACTTGTTATTTCCAAAGGCTCAGGCCAGGCAGTGAACATCTCCGCTGCTTCTGGCTGTGCCCTGAGACCCCATAGTCTCTCCAGCTCTTCTCAGAGGTGGCTCCTTTTGGAGCCAGACCAGAACTTCTGCAAATACTGGTTGCACCAAAGAAGTATGTGCATGGAACATGGACTCTGCACTAGGAAAACCCCTCAGTAGGATCTATTTAAGATTATTTCATGATGGCTTGTCACTAACTAATATTAAAGGTATAAAAGGAAAATCAATGGTCTTTTGCTTGTACATGCAAGGAAGGACCTTGACATCTTGCTCCCATGCGTTGCATTGTCTCTTGCAGAAAGCCTCTTCAGACAGGATTTGGTGCAAACTACAGCGCACTTCCACACACATTTGCCTCCAATATCAGTTCTGTTTTCCGTAGCTAAATCTTAAGGACCTGGTCACAAAACTTTGGGACTGCATGGTTCCATTTGGCAGTTCTTCTTAGTAATATATTTCACTCTACCACGCTTGAAAAGTCTTACAGCTAAATTGCACACAGCCATCTGTAGATGAAGCAGTGAACATAGGTTCTATAGCTATTCAATTATTGTATTTCTACAATGCAATTCCTTGCTCATTTAAGTAAATAATGCATATGAGCACGATAAATCCCTGCAGCAATATTATATTCTACATACAAAGCCATACTTGTCAGCTACTTTTGAATTCTTATAGTGACATTAGAGAAATTCAGTGACGTGAAAAGAAGGAATAAACTTTATTAACTTGGTCCCTCAGTATCCCTAAGGGACCAAGTTCTGCCATCATCTGTCCTTGAACATGTGATTTTTTTCTCTTTGTAATCCAAGATGGAGCTTGGGACAAAGGTAATTACACTCCCAAAATATACCACTACATGGAGTCATTCCTTGTAAGGAAGAGAAACCAATGGTGCCTTTTGTCTCTCTCACCTGATAATTCAGTGCTGTATTGTTTCTTTCTTCTCAGTAAACACACAATAAATCCGCCATCTCTTGTACTTCTTAGGTCATTCAAGCTGACATCTTATTGAAAACCCGATAATAATAAATAAGACAAACCTCAGATATCTGTGTTGATGCATGAGCAGTATGGGAGGCTTCTTGCAGCTTTCATCTTAGTTTTTTTGATGTCCACAAGGTAGGGTCTGCAGTGACAGAACTGATAATTGCAGGTAAATTTTCTTCATCCCTTGTCTTGCTTGCAGGGCAGTGCTACGTAGCAACAGAGCCTGGTATGAAGAGTAACATTCATAGTTGAAATTAAAAGACAGTTGTTTCTGCTGGAGACCCTTTGCTAGAAACTATCTTGGTTGCATTACCTCTGCTACCTCATTGGTAGCAGAGGAAAGGTTTCCGTTTGTTTATAGAATTTGTAAGTATGCACAATTAATATGAGTAAATAAATTTTCCATATAGGATCTCTCAGGAAACCATGAAATAATAGCATTAACTGAAACCAATGAACTTAGCAAAGACCTGATGAGACACTCCTCACAGTGGAGAACATCACTCACACAAGCAGGGACGAATCTTTGTGGTCAGGCTTAGGGCTGATCCCCCCTGTGCTACAAACATTACTGCAGCAGCCCTCATGCTCTATCCTTCTCTAGAGGTCTCCGTACCATTGCCTGGGAGAGCCATTATATGATTCACACTGCGAGTGTCTCTCACACTGCTGTCCTTGCAACACAGCTCTCTTTGGAGATGCAAACCTCTCCAGCTGCATAGAAGTGCTGAGAAGACTTCTCTCAATGAACATAATGGGAGTTTACTAGTGATGTCAGTGAGGTCAGGCTCCCACCTCTAGTTCAAGCAAGACTGAAAACACTGAGATCAGGTGACTGGGGAATCATGCAAGAATTACAGCTACCAGACTGAAACACGGTAGGCTGCCTGTAAATCTTTGGTGTAGCAGGGGATCAGTGACTATCAATTCAGTTTTATGAGCATATATTTATTTACTGATGCCACCATTTCGAGGCAGAGCTTGCATGTCCTAGGGAAGTACTGCAAAGCTCCCACACCTTGTTATACAGATGCATGTAAATCTGTCATTTGTAGTAAATGAACTCAGAAAGATTTATTTTGGAAGCTGCCTTTCCAAACTATTCTAATGTTAGCTCCAAGCAAACATGCATACAAAAGCCTTACAACCACGTGTGGAGAAGCAAGTTGTTAGTAGCATTTGTACCACCTGTCCTAGGGAGCTACTTTGAGCCCATGTGATGTGCCAGTAACGGAAAGGTCAGAATGAAGATGCTGGGAAGTGGAACGGCAGGGTCATATTTTAGCAGGGTGCAACTGTGCTAGTGCATCGACCACTTGGCTCCCCTGTCTGTCTGAGTCCTGGGACTGCTGTTTGGCTTGGGTACAGCACAAAAGAGTAGTATTGCACCCTCCTGCAAGCAGACCTGTGCATGATGTCCTGCAGGGGGGACCAGGAGGGGGTCTGATGAAGAGAAATGAGCAAGCTGTGCTCAGCTTCTAGAGCAGGAAACAGGGACAAAGAGTCAGAGCAGGTCACCTGCTTCAGCAGCTCTGATGGCATCCCAAAACAACAGAGCTTAGAAGTCCATACAGACCCTGAGCAGAGCCAGAAGTGTACACAACCAAGGCAACTAAGCGCAAGACCTGGAGAGCTCAACCTCAGGCAGCAAACAGGAGAGAAGTCGCAGAATTTTGCTAAGTCTGAGGAAGCCCCAACCTCATTTCTGATCTGGAGTTACTCTTCCTAGCATACACCACATTGAACGAATACATAACATATCTCTAATTAATGTCTAGGGAAGGGCTTTTTCTGGAGAGCCCCAGACTGCCTTAATTTTCAGGATGATATTCATCCATGGCACAATGACTTTGCAGTAAAATTTGATTAATAAATCAGAGACAGATCACACTTGACAGATGCATCAGCAAATACAAAACAACCTTTCCTATCATCAGACCTGCCCCAATGTTGAAAAGAGAGACATGATCAGAAATTTTTTACTAAATGTATTTTCATGGGTTATTCCACATTGGCAAAACAATTTCTCAAGAAGTACAGATTCAACTAGTTTTAGATGTGAGTATTTCTGTGGTGCAAACCACTTTCAATCAGAAAGAAAAAAAGGAAAATCAGTGAATCAAAAAATGTGACTTTTTCCAATTTAAAATAGAGAAATGTAATAATTCTGTTTTTATAATATATTCTAAGGACCACATTTTGTGTTCCAGGGTGGAAAAAATGAATTTGAAATCTTTAAAGTTATCACAAAACAGATATTGTTGTTCTCTGGCAATCTATATTAAACAGGCTTGAAGTTATAAGAAATACTCTAAGAAATGATAAGTGTAAAGAAAAAGAGAGGTAGGGGCAACTGAGAAATATTACTGTATGCTTACTTCAGCAAAACAGCGGTCTGTTGTCGTCTCCCTGACTCCAAAGACTGTAATATCTTAAGTGTAACACATTAAGTCTTTGGAATGAAATAACCTCAGACAAGTGAGGACCAAACCACAGAGCATCTAATAATATCATAGCAGAAAGAGACTTTTTTTTTTCTTAAAGTTGCCTTTATCTCTCTCCAAATAGCTGTGCAGATGTATAGCCCAGCCAAGCAACTCCACAAATATTAACACTTGTGAATAGTTGATAAATTCTGCAAAAGCCAATGTCTCTACTAGCTCTGCAATAAATAGAGACTGGAATTTATCAGATTAATAGTTGCAGTGTTGCAGTCTAAAGCCAAAAGCCAGAGACTTTTTATAATGGCAAAAAATGTAAGACAGCAGCTTTTAAATGCTTTCATATTTCCGAAGAGAACTTTCATGCTGTTTCTTAGCTCATGAAATCATTATTTCTGGAGGACTTATCAACACCTAGCTTACCAGCTGGTGGGTGGGCCGGCCCTTCCCTGTTGGCTTGTCTGTAAAGGATGGCATCAAAATCAGTGAAGAAAGTGGCAGTGATTGCTAGTACAATTTCCTGCTTTAAATACAATGAATAAATCAGCATACAGAGTGAACTAAAACAGAATGCTAATCAGGATAGATGGTGAGCTTGCTGCCTGTCTTTCCATGCTCATCCTAAGCTGTTCCACTGGCCAGTGAGGCTGAAAGCCCTTTGGGACCCAGGATGTATCCTGCTAATATCTTTGCAGTCCTTGTCACATTTACAGTTCTGCATTACTATTAAAGCCAACTTGCAGATTGCAGTGTTGTGCAGAAAATTAAATGCTTACTAAAATTAACGGCACTGTGGAGCTCAAACACAGTGCCTCTCTACTTTGATCCATTTTAGAGTGTATGTCCTCATCCCTTGCTTGTACAGCAGAGTTCCCCTGATATGCAGCTGAACTCTGCAATTGCTACAAAAAGCATTTTACTGCATATACTTCGAAGGAGACAAACAGTGAGGCTCCATACATGTGCTGTAGTATACTGAGAGAGAAACAAAAACATGCAGTATGAATTTATTTTTGATAACAGTCTCAGAAATAATGCTAGTTATTTCAAGTCGCCCTTGGAGTTACTGCTCCAAAGGAATGTGCTAAATCCTATGCATTTCTCATGTGTCTATTTGAATATGAAGATTCAACAGCATGAGGTTACATCTGTTCTAAAAAAAAGGATCAGGGCTTGGCATCTTGGTGTTCACTGTGCTACAATTTGTTGGGTTCTTTGCACTGTTGCTAAGATCTACACTTTTAATATTGGCTAGCAATACTGCCATTTTTGGATTGTAAGCCCAAATTGCCATACAAATGCTGGATGTTCTGAGAGTGAGTGCTCTGTGCCGCTTTGAAAAGCCTTAAATGAAAAATACAATATTATTTTGGGAGGCTCTCTAGAATTATAAACTGCCTAAAGATATGAGTATTTCAAGTGCTCCTGAAGATAATAGTGCATGAAAACCTCATGCAAAGAGTATTCTGAGATGCAAAGCTTACTTCCCATTATATCTCTCTTCTACAGCTGATAAAACATTATCTGCTACTTCTTTCAGAATTCATGAGAGGCTCTATGAGACTTCAAAATATCATGAATTTGGACTTGCTGAGCTGAATCAGACACCCTGTTGCTCTGTTGAGGAGTATATACTAAGATCTGACTTATTCAAAGGCAAAAAGAACTCTATTTTTTCCAAGTGTGCGAATTTTGCAAGTCATCCTAGTACTTTTGGATAACGCTACATGGTCTGAACCAAAAAGGAGACTGCAGTTGTCTGAACAAGCAGAGTTTAGTTCCAAGCAGAATTAAATTAGGGATTCATGGAAATGGCTTCATTTGAACTTGAAAACCCCAGTTAAAAACAAAACAAAACAAAACACCCAGCTCCTGAACAGCTCAAATTTAACAAAAAACTAGAGAAGCAGGTGCTGCTAGTTGCTGTTAAGCAGTACTTTTGTCACTGGCTTCACCATCAGATTGCAGTGGATGCAACAAGCAGCCAGTGTAACATCTGAGTCTGGCACTGCTCAGCTCCATCCACTTCACCCACTGTTGGCCATTTAAAACCACCATGTCTATGCTGGTTGCCTGTGCAGCCTTGCTATACGTCCAGAGTGAAATGAATATACCTTTGGAAGTACTAAAGTTATTTGAGATAATTCTCTCCACAGATTTGATGAAAAGCTAAGTATAATTAAAATTCAAACACAAGCAACCACCTTGGAAGGTGTGCATTACTATTACTTTTTCTTCTATTTTAGGACCTGAGCATGATTGATTTCATCTGGTAGAATCTGCGTTATTGCAAACAAGAGTATGAATTTCTTCCCAAATGCACAAATTTCACTGCTTTAAAAATTAATTAGTGAATAACTGTTTAAAATAATTTTTAAAGGAACTTCAAAGCTGCAAAATAGAGAATTTGTTGAAATTGGCACATATGAAGATCTGCTTTATAAACGCTTGAATATGTAGAAAGTACTGTGTGACTTCTCTGATGAATAACAACTGAGCAGCACAGCTTGACTTTCAAATATTCATAATCAATTCATTAAGTAAGAACGAATGGGAGAAAATTATGATCACAGATACTCCACAAACAGAGGGGAAAGCTAACTGACGATTCTGATGTGTCCTCCCAATATTTTCATAAGAAAACTATATTAATATTTAATGCCTGTATTACCTTTTTCAGTCTGCTCTAATTCAAGTGAATTTTCATTCCCCATGAAACGTCTGCTAATAGAATACTAATGCCACTGGTAGTTGCTTGCCGTACAATACGAATGCCACTAAT